CAGCCCGCCAGGCGGGCGGCTTCGCCGGCCCGAGCCCGCAGCGGCTCCCGCCGCAGCATCGGGGCGCTGGGCGCTCGGGCAGCCTCGAACCGAGCGGACCCGAGCGAGCGACCAGGCACTTGCCCGCCCCGTGCCACTGCCACCACCGCTCGGGAGCGCAGGACCCCGCACCTCCGGCGCCCGCGGCCGCCGCCAATGCGGCCCCGACACTTTTAGCTGGTCGGGAGGGCCGGAGAGCCGGTCCGATTAGAGCAGAGAGCCAGCCCCGCCAAGAGCTGCACCGACCCGCCGCGAACAGGGACAGACGCCCGCCCGCCATGGATCTATTCGACTTTTTCAGGGACTGGGACTTGGAGCAGCAGTGGTAGGTGTTGATTTTTGCCTTCTCCTTTGCTACGCAGGTCCTCGGGCTCGGGCTGGGCTTTTCGCCTTTGTTAAAAGGAGCCGGGGCTGGGGTGGGGGCGCCCCGGACGCACTCTCACTTGCTCTGGGCCACCTCTGGCCCCGGCCTCCGGGACTCCTCGCTGGGGTGACAGGGTTGATGGTGGTGCGGGCATAGGAGGGGATGCGGGTCTCGAAAGCGTCGCTTGGCACTCCGAGTCTAAAGAGTTGCATTTGGCCCAAATCGGATCCGGTGCTGCCCGGGAGCTGAGTCGCACAACCTCCGCCGGGATTTTCTCTTTGCACCGTTGGCCAGGCCGGCCTGCCAGCGCATCGATGCTGCCCGCTAGAAATGCCTAAACTTTCCAGGTGCCCGAAGCATGCGGCCAACCTTGGGGGACCAGCAGCGGCCAGGTGCCACCGGCCACCCTCTGCTTCCTAGGCGGCCACCGCCCCCGCCACCTCTGTCCCCGCGCGCGCAGCGCGGCGCGGCACGCACACCTTCCCTTCCACTCGCTCAGCCCAAGTTCCCGGTACTCGGGCGCCGAGCAGCGGCTTCGGGGGCCACAGCTCGTGGCCCTGGGTTCGGGCCGACTTCAGCGTTTGGCTTTCAAGACAAGGTTTTGCAAGTTAGCCTCCAAAGTCTGCCACTCGGATGTCAGTGTACCTTTAATTACCTGCTGGACCCTCACTGGGAAGCAGCCGCAGGTTTGTGTAATGGGCACCCAGCTCTGATTCAAAGATTTAGTCAGCTCTTCCAAAAATACCTTAAACTTGTCGCTGAGAGGTTTTTGAAGGATGGCGCAGAGGTGACTGGGGAGACAGAAAGTTGTTCCCCTCTGCGTGATGTGCGCCCGTGTGCATAAATGGCGATATACATATCTATTAACGTAAAAAACCCCTTCGTCTTCTGCCACAAACGTTATCATTGTTAATTTGTCATATTTTAACGTATCACTTTCCCCCCACAGCCTATGGAATTAGATGGGGGAAGGGCGCGGCGGCAGCTACTTGTAATTACACTCTTGGCTATTGCCTTTTTAAATGTAGTTAGAATAATCTATAGTACCGACCCATAGTGCGAAATCTTTTGCAGTGTTAAACTACTAGCAGCCCTTGTAAAAATGCTGTGTATTTTAAAAGGATTTCCCTTGCCGATGTGATATTTTAGTCAATTTCCTTCTTTAGAAAAGGGTCATACATTTACCCAGTAGCCAATCATAACTCCCTTAGTTGCAAATCCAAGATAATCAGAACTTAAATACATTTTATTTTACAGGAATTCCGGGTAAATCCTTGAAGCTACAAATCATGCTGTATCAGTAATAACCTGTAAGGCATTTTTGATATCGTGCAGGGTTTTATCAGCTCTACAGAAAACCATTATATCACAAGTTTTTAATAACCACGGTGTTATTTAAAAGTAAAGATCACAATGAAATTACTTCCCAATTAAATATTATGCTCCTGAACACAAGCCTTTACTGTGCGCTTCACTAATTTATTTTGCAGACAACTGATAACCACAGCATTACTATTTGCATACAATTTGCCTAATATATGATGTGGGTTAACATCATTAATTTACCAGGCATTGTTATAATTGATTTCGTGGGTGTACTTCCAATGTTAAACATATAGAAAGTATTTGTTTTTTTAAATGTATTTATTATATTATTTTAATTTCAGTGTAATCTTATGCACTTGCAGTTGCATATTTAAAAGAGATGGGACTCTTTTAGATTTGATTTCTTTTTTCAGAAGTATGCACCCACCCCTTTTTGGAGACTACCTTTTCTTACGTTAGGAAAAATGCAAAAATCTTTTTTTTCCCCTCCAGATCCTTAACTATGCCATATCAGTTAAGCAACATGCAGACTTGGATACGCTCTGTGGATATTGTGTGAAATACCGATGAATTAGTATAACACATCTGCATAAATAAGCTGGCCTTTTCCCTCTGTGCACATGTTCCAGGAAAATTTCTCCTTCCTACTGTTTGATTGTGAAGAATAAGCTTCCTTATGCGTCTGTTTGTAAACATGTGTAATGTGATTGTTCATCTGTGTTTTGTACACCCCCACAGAGAAAAGGGACAGAATTGTGACAATAGTGGATGAAGTAAAAAGCTTGCTATTGCTTCAAATGGAATTCTGTACCTTTCCAAACTCTCTTTGGACATCCAGAGCATGCCAATTACATGTTCATTATATGTTTACTTCCCTTCCTGGGAAGTAAGTATAGATGCTTAGAGTGATGGCTTCCACAGCCACCCCCCAAATCTCCAGGAGGTCCAAGGACGAAAAAGGTGCCAGCCAAGTTCAGGAATTCACTGACACCGGACATTTTTTCACCATTTACTGTGGAACAGAAAGCTCAGAGCTGTCTCTACTGCATCCCTAGATGTCTGACAATTAGTGAATCAGGCTAGCTAAAAACAAACTCAGTTTTCCTAGAATTAATGAAGAAAGACTTTACATATGCAGGCATATGTGTTATTTGCAAACACTTGACTATAGTAAACAAAAAGTGTGTGACCATTTATACACAGACACATTTGTCGGGATGAATACAAATGGAAAGGAATGGGCATAAATGATGCTGCAGTGTGTGTGTGTGCCCTGTCTGGGAGTGCTCAGTGCCTAATGGAACATAGTCCTGGATTTCACAAACTGCAAGAATATCTTAATGGGTCATGCTCTGGACTCGATTAAAGGGCCAAAGCTCAAGTTCTTTAAGATTCCTAGATGAATGAGCAATGTTCACCTGAGTCTGAATTTAATATGAACCGTTGTGTGAAAGAAGAGGCAGGCACAGATGTCTGTCTGTGCTCACCAAAGACACCACTTGTTCTTAAAAAAAAGAAAATCAAAAAAAGGTAAAGAACAAAATCAAATTGTGTCATTTAAATCATTCCACGGACTTCCTTGTGGTAATCCAGCAAATGATTTCTTGAGGTGTCTGGAGATCATGTGGCTAGATTTGCACTTGTTTAGCATTACCAGCAATTTGGGATGTCAGTAATCCCCGTTTGTGAGGGGGGGGCAACCAAAATTGGAGGGCCTACAAAGTGTACAGCCATCTAGTCCTGTAAGCATCCCCCCCATATTGATTAGGTATTGCTTTGTGACAGGCCTCCTTTGTGAGGACACTTATCTTTTTATTACTAAAAAGACAGAGAGAGATTCCTAAAAATAAAAAAAGGAAAAGAAAACCACCAGGATAGGAAACTCAAAATGTTCAAAAGCCTACTGAAAATTGCAGTGAAGCAATTGTGACAGTGGCCGGCTTCTCACTGCGAAGGACTGCATCAGTTGTTTGTAGCTTTTATGTGATGTCTCACAAGTAGCCTAATTAGAGGCAAGCTTGCAAACGGGCAGTTATACAGGAAGAGACTTAAACTCACTAAACTGTTATATAAATAGAAAGTTCAAAGGTCTGTGTGGGGCTGTCAAGGCTGGGAAGGGGCCATGTGCAGGCCAGGCTTCTCCTCCTCCGGGGAAGGCAGCCCCCAGGGCCTGCCCCAGCAGCCCACACTTTCCCCAGTTTTCCTCAACCTTGCAGGGGGTGGAGACCCTGATCTACAGACAAAAGTGAACTGTTTCAGCTCAAGCCAGGCATGGCCCATGTGCCTGCAGCAGCCCTGTTGCCTCTGCCGCTCTGCACACACAGGTCTGGCTCTGCACACACAGGTCTTCAGACGCCTCCTTAGCTACAGCCCTCTGCAAAAGTGCATGGGGCCTGTTTATGGATGAGAAGTTGTAGGAGTGAGAGAGAACCTGGGGGCAGAGGGCAGGATCCTGTTTTGATGAAGGCCTACAGGTTGCCAGTGTTTCTCATTCTCTACCTCCATCCATTCATCTTTCCCCCTTCCCCTCTGTCTTCCATTCAGAGGGAGATGGTCTGTGGTCTGTTTTCTTTGCCAGTACAATATGCATTCTCCAGTGTGTTTGAGCATTCATTCAGCAAACCATTTGGGGTTGAGTTTCTTAAGGGAGTGTATGGAGAGGCAAGACTCAAGGTGGTAAAAGTAGCTAGTGATCAGGTCGCCTCGACAAAGCCCCCCCCGACCCCCCAAAGAATAAAAGCTATCTCTGTAAATCTTAAAAGGCACGTCTATTGGACAAGGAAGAAAATGATCTCATGTTAGAAATCAGTTTAATGATACATGAATTGTTTTGCTAATGATTCAGTCAAGCATTTAACAACTTTAAAATATACAAATCAAGATCGAAAATGACTGCCTCAAAAATGAATCTGTCATTATAGACATAAATGAGATTCCAAACATTCAAGCATTTTGTGGATGGATAAAAATTATATTGTATTTAAACATGCTAATTACTGCTGAATAGAAATGGCTTTAATGTGACAAACCTTTATTTCATGCCCATTATTCTTAGCTAAGATTATTTCTGGCATGCAAAATGTACACATATTTAACATCATTTCAAATCGTAAAAGTCCAATAAAATGGTCATCTCTGGAACAATCTAGAAGCTGTAACCCTATGAGCTTACAGCTGTTGGTTATACCTCCAAAAAGGGAAACTGCTATACACTTGATTAGCCTCTCCTGTAGACAAAACTATTGGTGCAGTGACTACATTTTTCATTTTGTCTTTTTTTCTGATCACTGTGGGATAAAGAAAGATTTAAAAAACTGGTTTACTGATAATGGAAACAAATGTATTGATTAAACAACTCAAGATCACAACTTGGAGAAGCCCTTTTGAGGTGTGTGTGTGTGTGTGTGTGTGTGTGTGTGTAGTAGAATGCATCATCGTCAATGCTGCTACTGTTGTTGAGTGGTATTTACTTTGTGCCCCAAGCATCACTGAGTAACTAGTGCTTTAAATACTCAATCTCATTTAATCCTTCAGACCACTCCATGAGACAGGACCTGTTATGATCTCTGTTTTACAGATGAAGTAATGGAATCACTGGCTACTCAGTGATACCATCCAGGTTCTAACCTAGATGG